GATTTATCCAATTGGGAGGCAAGTTCTCAATCTAGGACAACTCCAGTCTCATTTGTTAAACTGATCTCAAGCAGCATGGCCATTAAATTGTTTGCTGCGCCCATAGTTGATCCTCACATGTCTGAAAATTTCAAAAGACAGATCAGAGACTTTGCTCACACTTCCTTGATTCCACAAGTGCCCCCACCCTGCACACAGGCACAGTAAACACTCATGCATTGTAAGAATTTGTTTTATGAAAAATGGCCCCCAAACTTAGAATGCACTTCAACATGTTGCAGATTGTGTCAACCAAATGTGTATAACAAGACATCCATGCAAGACCTATTATAATAACTCCACAATAAAAGGTATGTCAAAAAGAACTTCAGGAAGACACAAGCTGCATAAACATATAAGTTCTCTTTCGGGAATAAACATTTAGTATAATAGTGATATCACGACATTGCTGACCCGTGACATTACCGACTAATAATAAAACACTTTGTAGAACAAGTGAACCCCGCTCAATATGGTGGTTATTGGTAAATATTGAAATAGTGGAATCCACCAAGTACACATGGTATTTTATTATTGATTATTGGTACCATGTGTTAACAATGAGATGGTATCACTGTTATATTCACTATTTTCTCCTCTTTTGGGGTGTCGTCTCAGTATGTAGATAAATAAAAATGATTATTAAGATCCCCGTGCAATTCACTTTGGATATTACAGCATGAATTGGGTTGAATGTGTCTATTTCAACATCAGAAACTGTAGAATACCTTCCTATTGTTAATAATTACTTACATTGAACGTCATTATCCATCTTGAAATGGTAACCTCACAATAAAATATAAAGATACCAATAATCACTCAACCTTATTCAAAGCATCCAAGTAGTTGGATGTGAAATGCTAATTCCACACACTCAATGCTCCAATAATTACCACACTAAGTGCACAAGCAATTAGGACCCATGCTTTTCTCTTATCTTCAGTCACAAATGAAGTAATTGCTTCCGACAGGTGGGTTCCACCCCCATTTTGTACAGGAATATCACCTTATCAAGGCATCAACCCATGATATATGTCCTCCGAACCCACCTATTCAATTAAATAACTAAGAGCAAATATTCAATATAATGATCACAACACATCACCGTTAATACACGGCATTACCAACTAATGAAGAAATATCATACAGATATACTGGATCTCACTTTTGTAATAGCTTCTGATAATCACCACATCTAATAACTACCATGTTCATATAGCTAGGTTCACTAATCTTATATGATATTTATTGTTAGTTGATGATACTACATGTCAATAATGAAATGATATCACAATTACACTCAATTTTTACTCAAAAACCAGATACATTTCCTGAACAATAAAAGCAGATGATGTGCGCAATTATGTATGCATGATGCAGATGTGCTCAATTCCAATAGTGAGTGGCGACTCCTGGTTTTCAGACATCCTTAAAATTTTAGTTGTTGGGTCACCTTCAACTCTGCGACATAAGCACCAGCGTCCTGACAAACCTTTTCTAACTGCTAGCTTTTTTAGCTATCAGGTCCTATATCATAAAGGAATCAAGCCTAGCATGCTCTGATAAGAAGGAAAAATCCAGAAGTTTACATGCTTACCCATGTTCAGCTTACAAACAAAAAAATAGCTTTCACTTTGTTTTTTGAGAAGTATATTTCCCATCAACCGACGCTAATAATCCTCAATACTAATTCTTTAAAGGAAGACAAGACCTAAACGAATCCACCTAGAATCATCATGCACAAAAGATCTGGATCTACAGTTGTGAAAGTTAAAACAGAACGGCAAAGAACAATAATTTTTTTTTCCTGTAGTAAGATTTTGGATTGTGCACCACATCAAAGTTCTTACATTAGAAGGAACTAGGATATCTATCATGCTGTTTAGGACCACATCCTTTCATGCCATATTTCTTCATAAAGAAACATTAGCCACTCTTGTTCTGCTCACAATGAGAAATTACCCTTCTTAATCCATGTATCACTCAGACGTTTCATAATGTTGCATTTGTTCTTCATAACAAACTAGTCTCTGGGAAACATGATGGAGCTATTATATGTTTGGACATTTTTCGAGTGCATACATAATAAATATATCAACAATCAAAACTATGTTCCTAGAAGAAAATAATGATTTTCCTTTTCAATATGCATAATCAAGGAGTCCCCTTGTAAATCGTCATTCATTTTACCAAAACTCCTATTTTTGACGATATAATATAGACAAAAATATCCCCAAATATAACCCATAACTCCGGTATTTTTTTTATTTGTTCACAAAATAGGTAAATAAAAATTGGATGAAGTTAGACTTTTCATGGCGATTCCCAAAACTCTCATACTTCGGTGGTGTTTGTCAAGTCCTTCACATGCTAGGGTCACAAAAGGAAAGGTAAAACGTTATGAGGGCACAAGTGAAAATATCATAACTGTGTTTTATATGCAATAAAACATATAGTAGGTGATCCAAATGGCAGGGTGCACTTGCCCATCCTGGCCACATAATGGCTCCGCCACTGCAGTAGGAAAAAGTAGTTTTTAGCACGCATATATTTCTTGCAGTAATGTTGAATCAACTGTACTAAGAATAATGCATTATTAATTTGCACGTGATAATATACTGTGAATACACACCATAAATACACTAGTGGTCCCATATTGTGCCTGCTTACTTTTAGCAAGTCTTTGCCACCCATTCTGTTCCCCACTGAGATACTTGTTTTTTCATACAGATTGACGTCAATAGAATTCATAATTGATGAGTTTACTGACGCTGAAAGCAAAGTTTTTGAGGTGGGATCATTTTTTGTGATTTCAAAATGATGTAAGCTTCTCGGGCCCATTAGGAATCAGATAAGTGTACTGCTTATTTCCTTTATCAAGTTGAGCCAAATCAAATTCCCAATGATGGAATTTAATGACTACAAGCAAAGGTTTTTAAACTGTGATATCAATGACCAACGAAAACAGTTGTTTTCATATTTCACTTTCTATGTGATGCACCATGTGATGATGATCCAATCAAGCCCTAGTAGATGGAACATACTAAAATTATGCCTATGCATAGAAAGGAGAAACCAGAGTAAAATATCTAAATTTCCCCTCTTTTACTAGTAGCTTATAATAGAACTAAAACAAGTAGTCGATCCTATAGGACCAGTTGTCTATTATGGGATTGAATGTTGGACAACAAAGACAAAACTACGTTTATGGGTATTTCTAAAATGAGGATGCTAAGAAGAATGTGTGCTAAGACAAGAAAAGATACTCCTAAAAATGGGTATATTCATGCAGACCAGTAGTTCAACAAGTAAAGAAGACTAGTAAAATACCAAGAGAAGGCAATAACCCAAATCGAAGTGAAGCAAAATAGAAAAGGATGTGGTTCCTTTCAATTTCATAGAGCATAAAACCCTAAACCATGGGCAGAACTACATTTGGGCCAAGGGGGGCCACGGTCCCCTCAACTTTTCAAAAATATCATATACCCCCTTTAGCTTCTTTAAAATTTGGGTTTTTGGAAGTCGAGTACACCTAATTAGACTTATTTGATAAAAAATACATATTAAAAAATATTTTGAAAAAAGGTACACTAGTTAGATACAAAAACATAAATGCCTATTTTAGGGAAAGTAGTACGTTAAATATCTCCTAGTTTTATGTGAAGATTTTAATATTTAATGAACATTGATTCATATGCATATATATATATATATACAAACAAGTATATATAAATACGTATAAACAATTATATATATATATATGTATTTATATTTATATCTACATACATACTTGTATATATATAAATACAATATACGTATATAAATACATACATATATAAATATAAATATATATATACACACACAAGTATATATATATATATATAACATTGAAAGTGTAAAGTGTAAAGTATTACTTTATGTCTCACCTTACTTAATGGAAGGTGTAAAATGTTACATGTTAATATTGAAAGTGTAACACTTTCACACTTTCTCAATTAATTAGTATTTTTAGTGTAAGATGAGACATGTATATTCTGTTTGTGTAACACTTTAGGTAATATCTCTCCTTACCTTGTATAAATAGTTTGTTACATTGTTATTGCTACAGTGTTATTGTTACTTTCAATATTACCCTGTAACACTTTACACTTTCTATTAACAAATGTGAGACATAAGATAATACTTTACATTTTACACTTTCAAAAATATTACACTTTACACGTGTATATATATATATTAACAAATACACATAAATCAAGGTGCATTAAATACTAAAGTTCTCCCATAAAATTAGGAGATATTTAATGCACCACTTTTCAAAGAACATGCACATGGATCAATAGAAGACAAAAATGTCACAAAAAGATGAGGCAAATTCAAATTGTGTACTTAGATATAAATAAGTATCAAAATTAAGGACTTAATAACCCTACATTTTTTAGTGTGTACTTTTTGCCAAATAAATCTAATTTGGTGTACCTCCTTACAATTTACCCTTAAAATTTTGTACCTTCCCTTAAGTTTTCAAAAAAATTTATTTATGTAGGATAATAGAATTAACATATTCAAAAATCCTAATGGTTTGATAGTTAATAAAAATTGGGATATTAATCACATGAATTAGTGTTTCTATTATACACTAAGACATATGTTTGTATGAGTCTTATGACTTAGAGAAAAAGAAGAAGAAGAAAAATGTTTGATTACATACACGACATACATTATTTACTTATGATAGTATTATGTGAAAATATTATTTACAACAACAATTTATTGATAGTCATTGTATCTGACGAGCCCAGATTTAAATCAAGCCTGAGTCCATTTAATGGGTTGAGCCCAAATCATCAAAAGACAAGCAAGGCTTAAAAAAATACTTGGATTAAATAAAAATCACCTCAAATGGACAACTGAACGTAAAAATATGGTCATTCAAAATTTTGTCGTTTCTTTATGGTTTTTTAATACTCCACCCTGGGTCTAATGTCTAGGCACCCTGCAGCACGCCAGTGCCCAGCAACCGTGCCCCAGGCGCCCTGGCAACTGGTGCCATCTCCATGGCACCTCAGCGCCCTTCTCATTGGCGTCACCCAGACCACCCCTAATGTCGCCCTACTCACCCATTGCGATGGCGTCGTCTCTTGCTCCAAAGGCGTCACCCACATGTTTGGCGTCGCCGCCCTTTGAACCTAGGGGTGTCAAATGTGTCGAGTTAAACAGTTATGTATCAGGTTAAATGGATGACGAGTGAAAAATATATAGACCCATACATGACACGTTTAATAAATGGGTGAAAAACTTCAACATGAACTATTTAATAAATGGATAATATGAAACGACTTGTTTAATCTGTTTAATTTTATTAAAATTATTCTATTAAAATTTAATCCGCACCAAAAAACTATTCTATTAAAATTTTAAACTTCATTAATTATCAACAACTGTACTCTCTTAATTAAAAGATTTTCAGTTGGCTAACACTTGCAAAAGCAAGTGAGAAGGTTGAATGACTAAAGAAAGGGGTTGCAGCCTTTTAAAGGCATGGGAGGTCTCATTCATTTGAATTTGTCAATATGGGATTCAAGCCAAAAGCTTTCATTATGCGTTCATTGTGCAGACCCACAAGACTTTATAACATCAAGAATATCATCCACCACCTGAAACAATAACCCAACACACCTCGCGAATTTTCTCAATTTCTCAACCTCCGCCGCATCACCCCCGCCGAGAATAACCCCCAGCACTACCGCAGCCTCCAAAAATGCGACGGTCTTGTGGAGATGAATGAACTCTAGTTCTTCCATTCTGACGGTGGGAACCCTAGTTGAGGCTATATCCACTACTTGCCCAGCAACTAGCCCTTCAGTCCCTATTGATTTTGCCAATTCACCAACTGCCGCAAGAATTCTCTCTAGAGAGACACCAGTTGAGGTGGTGGCGATGAACTCAAATGAAAAGGCAAGCAACGAATCAGCGGCTGGTGTTGTTGGTGGTGGTGGTAAGCTCTCGATTCTTTGGCAAGAAGTCAAATGGTTTTGATGAATCTCCCAAGCTCAGACCAAGCTCCATCTCATCTGCAAAAGCCATAAAAAGAGAAGAAAGAAACAAGAAATGCAAGAGAAAGAGAGAAAGAGAGAGGGGGGGAGGGGGATTTGAATTGAAAGCACTAGAAATAGTCTTTATAGTGACAAAAAATTTGTTCCCACATTGAGCACTACAAAGGGGTAAGTGAGTAATCTGTACTAATGGCCATGGGATCCTCATCCACTTAGCAGTTTGATTTATTGTATGTTTACTGTGCATGTTCATTGTCAAGTTTCAAATGCCTTTTCACCGTTTTTTTTTTGGAATTAAGATTGTATTTACTCATTTACCATATATTTGTATATACTATTTTCTTTATGGCTAATTTTTTTTAAACGGGTTGACAGGTCTCATACAAACACGACCCGTTTATTAAATGTGTCTAGCAGGTCATCCCGTTTATATCAAAACCCATTAAGATCTTACCTAAATCTGCTTAATTCGTGTCGTGTTGAACTTTGATAGGCTTACTTGTGCCCTCTCATCCACTAGCGCCACCTTGCCTGGCCATAGGGATGCCCATGACATCTTCCATAGATTCCTTAAGCGATCCTCTCTAAGTAGAAATCGAGATTTCTTGTAACTATAGGTCATAGGAATTTTTCCCAGTGCCCATGACCAACACCAGACGTTTGTGCCCAATGGCGCCCGTGCCCAACGATGCCTGCGTCTAATGCTCGTATTTGTGCACCCACGCGCCCTTGCCTTGGCGCCTACCTCCTCACCCGCCTTGGCACACTCTCCGTATCGCATGCCCAACTAGTCCAGCAGTGCCCTTGGTGCCCACTGTCACCCTTCCTAGTGCATCTAATAACCTCGCAGCTCGTGCTCGATGCCCATGCACTGCCGACTCTATTCTATTATCAGCACCCTCTGGCTACCCTCACTATCCTCTCCATCTCTTGGGAAAGAGCCTCCCGATTCGCCCAAAACTTGGTCTCACTCTGTCTCAAGTCTCATGCAAGCAACATATGTCTCCAAGGTAGTGCCTCTCTCGCTAATCGCCAAAAATTTGGCCTAATTCTGCCTCTGCTCTTATGCAAATAGCCGATCTCTCCAGCTTAGTGCCTCTCCCACTATTCACCACAAGCTCGGTCTAACTTTTCTCGATCTCTCATGCAAGCAACCTATGTATCTAGCTTAGCGCCTCTCTTGCGAGTCGTCACTGATTAGCACAAAATATTGCATATCATGTATACATTTGCACCACTTTTATACTTTATTTTGTGGTGAAAATGAGAAGAATTGAAATGTTTCAAGCTTTTAATAAGGTTTTGGTGTGTTTACAGGTAAATAGCTTAAATGGTGCATGTTAGGCCCTGATCATAGTGCTTGAGGTCAATGGAGATGAGAGGGAGGCTTGACGATGGCTTGGAAGGTGAAAGAACCAAGATTTGAGCAAAACAAGTAAAAACCTACCTATAGGTTCTACCAGAAACATTTTGGTAGGTTTTGCCTACTGGAGTAAAACCTACCGGTATGTTTTGCCATCAACCTACCGGTATGTTTTGATGAAAAATGCCAGATTTTGCAACCCAAGCTTTGTCATATGGGGGTCCCACCTATGGGTCTCCCATTTATCCCCTGACATCCCTTACACATAGACATGCCTCCTCAACCATGAGCATAGACTTCGAAAGCTAAAACATTAATGAGGAGGAGAGAGAAGATAGGAAGGCTGTTATTATTGGGGTACTTTGTCCTAGCCTCTCTTATGGATAGGAGGGCTGTCACACGCCTAGGGGGACCTCCATGGATGAATTTGGGAGCCTCATTCATTATTATTCTGACTGTACTGCATTGTAGAGAAAAAAGCTCTAGGAAGAAGATATAGTTTTAGAGAGAGAAAACTTAGATTTTTGCATTTCTTTCATCCATTTCACTTGTAATCTTTTGTTAGACTATTGTAAGCTTCATTTATTACCTTTAATATCATTTATTACAAGTGCATTGCAAGTTCAGTTACACATTTTGGATTCTACCATTGTTGTTTTGAGCTTTTCTTCATTGCAAGCTTTTAAAATAGGTATTAAATGCATTTCTTCATAGTTTAAGTTTTCTCACACTAATCCAAGTTCCAATCTTCATTTCTATACAATGTCTCTTTATTTCATCTATGTTCTTGCATTGAATATGAGTAGCTGAGCTTTAGGTTGGCTAATCCTAGAGAGATTTCCTCTTGGGTATATTAAATCAACTCCTTTTCCATTCAACCTTGTAGTGTACGACAGTTTGGTTTGACTAGAATGAGTGTGGACGTGGTTGTGAGTTCTTGATACACCGTAGACTTGTCACGGGGTATACTTGAATCCTAAGCTCAATTTTAGTCCCTCGTTTCCTAGGAATCAATCAAACGTCTAGACACCATTGGACGAATGTCTTGAGTTGAATTGACATTTCCATTGGAATGACCTCTTTGAGTTAGCCAACACTTGTTTCCATTACATTTCTATCCCAAATCTTCACTTACCAAAACTTAAACTCCAAAGATTTTTACACTTTTCTTTTTTCACCAAAATCACCTTTAACATAATTCTCTTTCTTTCCTAAGGAGACGACCTTGGAATAAAAATTCCAAGTAAAATATGACCCTCAAAAGTCTCTCTATGCTTGGAGAGTACTTTTGTACACACACACATGTTTGCCCCAATTCTCACATCATTCCAAGGGAGAGTGACATTCACCTACACACAAAAATCATATACACATTTAAGGATGATATGCAAAGATTAGGGTCGATGGAATAAAGTCAAGCAGCCACAAGCTCAACCTAACGCTACCTCTACTCTTATGGAAGTAACCTATGTCTCCAGCTTGGCTCCTCTCTCATGAGTCTCCACAAGTTCGACCCTAGTTTAGAGGCTCTCTTGCAAGTCACTAAAAACTCAACCTCACTCTATCTCTGCTCTTACGCAAGTAGCCTCAATCTCCCAAAAGCTCAACTTCAAGAGGTTTTGCTCTCATGAGCCAACATCAACTACTCCTCAGTAACCTAGAGCACCCGTCTCTCTTGGCTAAATGACACCACATCGAGTTTGAGCATTCTCGAAAAAAGGCACAAAAAAGTCGCAGTCATCTGCGAATATCCAAAAGCAAGAATGTCAGCATGACCCAAACATACATAAGACAAGGTTGCACAAAAAGGAAGGGTATCATAGCAAATCCCTCCATCACGGTATCGATGATACCCTCAAGACACCGAGAGCCAACCTCTCTAATATCCGAGGGCGTTCCAAACCTCCAAAGCTGCTCCTTGGACAAATTCACATCTTGCAGCATGGACACCGGGTCACTACTGAAAGTAGAATAATTATGTAGAGCTTCGACCTTAGTGAAGTCTGCACAGGAGTCTCAATCTCTAAAGTAACCCTAGGACACAAAGAGGTCACATGCTGAGAAAAAACAAGGACACATCAAACCCCCACCTTCCGAGAAATAATACAACCATTAGACCTCAGTTGAGAAGCACTAGTGGCATTATAACTGTTGGGATAGCTACAAGGAATTACTATAATTCATTCCATATTATGGTTTTGAATCGTGGCAATTGGTGAGTTTCTTCTATGAAGGGATCACACCGGACCATCAGCAATTCATTAACATGATGTGCAATAAGGAGTTCTTAAACAAGGACTCCAATGATGCCCCAGAATACTTTAGTACATTGGTGCAAAATGCACAATCTTGAGATATCATGGATCCCACCGATGTACCAAGGTCTTCTCCGGGTAGTAATCAATCACATGGGGGAGGAATGTATGATTTGAGAGACTGGAAAAACTTGCTTTTCAAAATTGTCAAGTTGTCTACAAAAGTGGAAAGCTAAGAGGTAAATAGGAGACACGAGGTGTCTAATATTTCAAAGACCGAGGAGTCTTGCTCAATTTGTAAGAGCGTGGAGCATTCTATACCGAAGTGCCCTAACATTTCGACACTTAAGAAAGTGTACCATGAGTACGTCAATGCCTTCAACCAAACGAGGCAATCATTCTATCCGCACTCAAACACTTACAATCCAAGTTAAAGTAAACACCCAAACTTTAGTTGGAGAAATGAGAATCTCACTCCTCATAGGTCTAATGCATATTCACCTATCATGCCTCCTAAGCAAAGTCAATACCAAGGTCAAGGTCAAGCGTCTAGCTCCCAATACCCCCGGTCCAATTCGCAAGGGTATTCACTAAACCCACCTCCATAAAATTTTTTCCAAAGTCCACCTCCGCAAGCTTGTGGTCAACAAGGACCATCCAATCCTCCCACCTACCAACCTTCCCATAAGAGAAATTTGGAGGAAATGGTTTATAATTTCATCCAAAGCCAATTCGTTATCAATAATCAAAATACACAGCTTTTAATAACATTCGGACTCAACTCACAAAGTTGACAAATTCCATGGGGACATCACAGCAAGAGAAGGAAAAATTCTCTGCTCAACCCCAAAAAAATCCTAGAGGTCAACAGGTCATTGAGTCATCGGAGCCCATAAAGGAGAGTTGTGAGCAACTCAAGGCGGTTACCACCCTTCAAAGTGGCAAATAATTTGATAAGACCATTGTGCAAAAAGTCTCACCCAAGGCCACATTGCCAATAGAGAAAGAGATTAAGGGTGACATCGAGGGGGTGAGGTAAGTGAGAAGAAAAAATTGGTTGATGAAAGTGTGCATGCATCCGCTATTCCAGTCCCTTTTCTCAATCATTTGAAGTCACCCATGAAAGTGACTAATTATTCTGATATATTTGAGATGTTCAAGCAAGTTAAAATCAACATTCCATTCCTCTATGCCATAAAGTAAATTTCATCATGTGCCAAGATTTTGAAAGACTTGTGTACGGTGAAGAGAAAATTGAATGTTCACAAGAAGACATTCCTCACTGAGCAAGTGAGGTCAACCCTGAGGATAAACACCCCACCAAAGTTTAAGGACCCCGGATGACCTACCATTGCCATTACAATAGAAAAATACTAGGTGGAGCAAGCTCTTCTTGATTTAGGGGCGAGTGGCAGCCTCTTACCCTACTCGGTGTACCAACAACTCCAACTTGAAGAGTTGAAGCCAACTTCAATCACTCTTTAGTTGGTGGACCGAAGTATTCGAACACTAATGGGAGTAGTTGAGGATGTCTTGGTGTAAGTGGATAATTTTTATTTCTCTCTCGATTTTATTGTGCTTGAAACTCACCCGATTGCTAACCCTGATTCACAAATTTCTGTCATATTAGGTAGGCCGTTCCTTGCTACTTTTAATGCTATTATTAATTATAGAAATGGATTGAAGAAGCTTACTTTTGAAAATATGATTATGGACTTCAATGTATTCAATTTGTGCAAACAACTAGAGAATGATGAGGAAGTGCATGAAGTCAATAGGATTGACACATTGGTGGAGGAGCACTTGGAGCTACTGGGCATGTTGGAAATGAGGGAGGAAGATGTTGATGAGCAAGAGTAGCCGGAGAGCTTGAAAGGGGTGGAAAAATGGGCCCC